CACGCCATTCATGTAGATCCCAATCCTAATCGAACCCGGCACCACGAAATCACGGGGTACCGAAATTCACCGTGACAATAGTAACTTATATATTATAGTATTGTATAATAAAAAATTAAGGGAAATTTACAAATAAGGATCTGGAAAGTGAAAATAAATATAAATACAGGCCTAAATTAAAATAATTATATATATATGTAAGTGCAAAATTTTTAAAAAATAATACATATAAGGGCCCAAATCTATTGATGACCAAAAAAATGTGATCACAGGATCACTACGCCACAAGGCACTATGATCATTAGACTTATGACAATTGAAAATCGCGATTATATAACCGATTATTAGATAGAAGGTTAAACTAGCACAATTATTTCTGTATTTATACGGCGAAGAAGTTTTAACAAAGTAGCTCCCTAGAGCTGAACGAACATCTTCCATATTATTAAATGTCATGCCAATTCGCAGTGCTTACTTGATATCATAATGTTTGTTATAACAATAAGCAATTTTATACAAAAAATGGAATTTATTAAATTTAAAAATATTTCTTTTCTTATTTATAATTATTAATTTACAATCGATCGTTACATTTCTTATGCGCTTAATAAGTATACGTTAATAATTGGCCGTTCTTCTTCATATTATTGATTAAATATTCTTAAATACTGTGTGTGAAAGTTCTTTGATACTTGCTTTGTGCCCTTTTACACTATAGATCAAATTTTATATATTTAGGCATTTTAAATAGTAAAAGAAATACCAATTATTTTACCTTATGTAAGATCACACTCTGTATAAAGCATCGTTTATATCCGGACAAAACCATTTTACTACTTTCAGCTCTTAAACAGCCTATCGGAATATTGGGCAAATTTATAGTTTTACAGACAGAAAGTTCATGAGATTATTCTTTTTAATGAAAAAATACTGAAAATCTAAAATAGCACTATTAGGGTTAATATTTACTGTATGACTCTAAGTAAAAAAACATTTTTTTTCTTTTTAGGAGAGATGTTACTAAATAATTGTTTTAAGAAGTGATAATCGTCAGTAATCCAAAATATTGTAAAGGCAGTGTATAAAATCTCAAAATATGTTACCTGTATAATGCTCATATAATTTATGTAGGTGATTTTTAAAAAAATATGTGCATTATGATTTTATAATTTAATAGACAGATTTAACATATGTATGATAAATTATATGTTTTATGTGCATTATTTCAACCAAAAAATTGCAAAAATGCGCGAAATTTTTTTTTTTTTTGAAAGTGCACTGAACACATTGTACACATAGTTTTTATACAATGGTAATGGAAAAATTGATGTCAAAACTATGTTTATAAATTTACATACTATAAAAATAAGTGTTTATTTATTCGAATAATTTTACATAAGAGATTTAACTTTGTTCCTAATTATTCCTTTATTTTTTGTAGTATAATAAAAAAATAAAAATATGAAATATAATAAAAAAGTTCAAATAATGAATGCAAAATCAAAACACGGGTCACGATTTATATTAGAGCATGTTAGATTCGAATTATCAAATGGTTATGTGATTTTGTAGTAATGCTAGATTTGCTTATAATTTTTCCGTTTTTTTTTTTGCGAAAATAATTACAACCATAGATTTTAATGATTAAAATTTTACAGGAGTAGCATAAAATTTAACATAATTGTAGGGACGGTCCCAGAACCGACAAAATTTCCAGGTGTGCAGCTTTAAGGTCCTCCAGCCTAATAAATCCTGGAATTAATAACTTGCACTAATTTTTTGTATATTTATAAGGTTTATCAAAGGTTCGTATGAATCCTTTATTTCAAATAATCAAAGATAATGAATTAATTACAAGCACGAGGAATATATATTCACAAAGTTTAAAAACAGACCAAAAATTCAAGCCTAATAATATTAATGCTTCAGCCAATAAGACGCTATCATTTGCTGGGTTACATTAAAACGTTTCACAATATTTTACATTTGTAATATAACGGAAGCAAATTCCGATTATTTCCCGTTATAATAGATTCATAATAATTTCAAATGATGATGTTACCAAACGAATGCTTTTTTGAAATATTTGATAATTTTCGAACCGATTATAAAAGCTTATTTTCATGCCTTCTTGTAAACCGTCAATGGTGTAGAATTATTATACCAATATTATGGAGTGAACCTACAAATCATTTTGATGACGAAAGACTTATAAGCGTATATCTTTTAGCACTAAATGCTGAAGAGCGAGCTCCATTGATCCCCCTTAACATTAATCTTCCAAATTACCCAAGGCCATTATTTGAGTACGAAAGTTAAACTATATCTGTTAGTTTAAAATTGAATAAAGGAATACATTATTGGCTTATAAATGAAGGATATAATATCGAAAAATACAGAGATGAATGTGCAATTGCTATCCAAAGTGCTTTAATTGAAATGTTTCTACGAGCAAGTAAAAACCTTAAATATTTCGACCTTTGCGGTAATATTAATAAAACATTAGCAGGATCGCTTTGCAATAATACAACGTTGACTTCTTTAAAATTTAACAATTGTAATCTTGGATCAGAAGGAGTAAAAGCATTAGCAGATATACTTTACAAGAATACCACACTTTCTTCTTTACATCTCTATGGTAACCTTGGTTCAGATGTCGGAAAAGCATTAGCAGATGCACTTTGTAAGAACACCACGTTGACTTGTTTGACTCTTTACAGTATCAAGCTTGGTTCAGATGTTGGAAAAGCATCAGCAGATGCACTTTGTAAGAACACCACGTTGACTTGTTTGAATCTTTACAGTATCAATATTGGATCAGAAGGTGGAAAATTAGCAGATACACTTTGCAAGAACACCACGTTAACTTATTTAAATCTTTGCTATAACAATCTTGGATCAGAAGGAAAAAAAGCAATAGCAGACTCACTTTGCAAGAACATCACGTTGACTAAATTGAAACTTGGTAATAATCATCTTGGATCAGATGTCGGAAAAGCATTAGCAAATGCACTTTGTAAGAACATCACGCTGACTTATTTGAATTTTTACAATAATAATCTTCGATCAGAAGGAGGAAAAGCATTAGCAGATGCACTTTGAAAGAACACGACGCTGATTTCCTTGAATCTTTACCATAATGATCTTAGTTCAGAAGGAGGAAAAGCAATAGCAGACGCACTTTGCAAGAACGCTACGCTGACTTATTTGAATCTCTCAAAAAATAATCTTAGATCAGATGTCGGTAAAGCATTAGCAAATGCGTTTCGCATGAACACTTCGCTGACTTGCTTGGATCTTCATCATAATTGTCTTGGATCAGAAGGAGGAAAAGCGCTAACAGATGCACTTTGCAAGAATATTACATGAAAAAAATTGGTTATTCTTTATAATCATATTAATTTCAATATAAAATCTAATAATCCAAATATTGAAATATTGCAATAAAATTATATATTATATAAATACAAACTTAATTATAAATCATGTAACTCAATATAAAATGTAAATCAAATAATTATCAGTAAAATAATAAACAATTATACTTTAACTCTTTTACTCATAGAGAGAGAGATAGCAGGGATTGTGCAAGAGGATTTGTTTATATGTATCTATATTTACATATATTTGTTAAAAATTTATTACGAATAATAATTTAATAATTTACTATTATAAATTTTGATTATTGATAACAAAATATTTATCAATTCACAAAGTACTTTAATAATTTTCTTATTAATAAAATTCCGTATTATATTTTATGGATTAAATCTAAACAAAAGGTGCAAGAAATTTTGTTAGAAGAAAAAGAATAGCATCACTAAACAGTGAGGTCGGTTCAAACAGCAAAATATTAGCGAGAATTTTATTTAAAATGACAACAAATAATAAGGTTATGTCCTAAATATAATATTATCTGGCAGGTACTATGTATACACTGACGGAAAAAATTCCATATTATTGCCACAGTTTATTAAATCATGTGATATGTAAAAATTATATTTTTTTAAAATTCTCAATTAAAATTCATTTTAAATTTGTTATGCCCGGAAATTACATAGAAAAAATAATTACTTATTGCAACTTTAATTAAAAATCATATGCAAATTCAATTAAAAATAATAATGAAATTATAGTATATTGCCTTCTTGTTATCAAATTCGAATGATTTATGAAGTTATGAAAGGTTGGTATAAAATATGGTGCCGCTTGATTAGTAATAGATTTTAAAGGTAGTTGTTGGGTGATAACGGGATTTAATGTTGATTTCTTGCTAAAATTAGAACTCGTTGTAGTTGGGGTAGATGTTGAATTACTCGAATCTACGAATAATAGTGTATTTAAAATATAGTACCAGTAATGAATTAATAATTAGAACAAGACATACCCGAATTCTTATAATATTGTTCTAGCCCATTATTAAGTGTAAATGTTTCTGCTGCCGTTATTAAGATTGAATCTAAAAAAAAAATCAAATCAATGAATATACACAAAGTTGATTTTTCGCTTTGCATTACATGGATTTCAAAATTCCTGGTCGTTTTGTCAGATTTTTTTTTAATCTTCGGTAAATTAATAGACTCATGTTCACACCTAAGGCTGCAAAAGTTGATTTTCACTTTGTATAACATGAAATCAAAAATTGGGTTAGAAGTCGAATTTTTTCTATTAATTCTATCAGATAATATCGGGAAAACAAAATCTCTAGTGGTGATACTGGAGTAATTTAACTAAATAGTATAAATTGAATAACTGAAACAATTGGGCTTAAAAAATTAAAAATTGAAAAATTGAAAATAAATTGGCCAGCTGGTAATGCAAATGACAGATCAACTTGTGTGGCCTAATAAACACCATTATAAATTTCAGGATAATCTTCATAATGCTTCCTGGATTTGTAAGAGTCCAATAAGTTGCACAGCTTAATAGCTATATATTCTTTCAAATATCATGTGAGAAAAGCATGGATATTTTAACTTTATATTCCTTCCTGTATATTCGTTTTAAGCATATGAAAAATTTGCAAGAAAATTTTCGAACTAATAATTGTGTCAGATTATAATGAAATTCAGATCAAAATGAAATTATAATATAAATCTCGAAAAATAAAATTTTTTTTGGTATGCATTTTTAGGGATAGGGGTTAGTAATATGGGTTAGTTTTAAAGTAAAGTTATAATAAACAAGTATAAGTGGGTTTTAGAAGGTTAACAAGTTAAGTAGAAAATGTTGATTTCATTTTAAATTATGATCCGTGACAATATATACCCATCATTCGAATTATCAATGCTTATTATTAATCAAAGAGAGTTCATTGTGGGTAGTAATATGGTTCTGTTAGTGTATACATTATACCTATCAGATAATAAGGAATTATTTATATGAACTTACAAAGATGCCATTTCTTGCAATATGTATTTTTGTTCAAAATGGATATATTTACATCAATAGTTTGCAAGTGGCACTAGTTTGACAAATTAAGTAGATATAAAGGAAGGAATTATTCTCATATACAATTTTTTTTTTGTTTTTTTTAATAATTACACATTTTATTATTTACATATAAATGAAGTTTTTATTATATTATTTTTTTTTTTTTAATTAATTAGCCTCTTTGGCATAGGGATTTTTATTCAAGTATACTGGGTGAGGAGCTTACAACAGAACACCAATTACATTAGAGAGTACAACTAGCCACACATGCAACTTTTTGTTACCTCTTTAAGCAGTTTACATATAGATAACTGTATACTCTAGGTTCTATACTATCTGCCATACCTATAACCCAACTAGGAGATTACTTATTTAAACACTTTGTAATGTACACATCCCTCTTGTATCATCAAAACATCTCTGTTACATTTGTCAGTCAAGAGTTCTGGATGCTTACTATAGCCTTAGACTAATTTATCCTTAAAACATCATTGCTAGAGCCTACAATCTGGCTAACCTAGACTTTAGGTAATTTACACCAAGTTCAGAAATGAGTACTTGCAAGCCAAAACTGCTACTGTTACCTACTTCTGTCATTGTAGAGTTCACACAAACCTCAGCACCACTTTATGGATCATCTACTGTTCCTCCAGTTCTCCAAACTTTCAATCCAGATAGCTTGGAAGGTCAATCTCTTCTTCAGAATACACTAGTGGCCTGGTTGGTATAGTGTCTTGCTGAACATCTCAGTCCTATCCAGTTTCTGGTTCTTCAATTAATAATCCTTTACATAGCACCATTGAAAGTCTGTACTATCTCTCTACCTAGGACTTGTCAAGCAAGCTTCTGTGTGCCTCAGCTTTTAGATTTATCTAGCTGCTTCACTCATGTTTTGTATAACTCATATTTCATATTAAATATTCTACAGCCTCTTAGTACAAGCTGGTACAACCAAAGCTACAGATCTGATGATCTATCAGATTACAAACAGTCTGCCATAACAGTAAAATTTAAATTTTGTTGCCAGTGGGATTCAAACTCTTGTCTTGTGCTTGGGAATATAACAACTTATCAACTCACTAAGTTGCCACACTCTAGTTTTTATTATATTATAAATTATTTTGATAATAATATTAGTTATAGACAAAGGTGTGATAACTTAGTAAAGTTAGTAAATTGCTGTATTCTCAAGTAGCAGAACAAGAGTTTGAATCTTATTGGCAACAAAATTAGAATTTTTATAGCTAACTGTATGTAATATGATGGGTTGGTATCTATAACTTTGGGTTATACCAGCTTATACTGAGAGGCTGTATAACATTTGTGTGATAAATAAGTTACACAAATTTTAACTGATGCAGCCATGTAAATTCAGAGCTTGTAGCATACAGAAGCTCACTTGGCAAGTTCTAAATAGAGAGATAGTACAGATCTTTGATAATATAATCAACCTCCTCTATAGTCACCTCCTCTATAGTCACAAAATTGGTATAATTACTAATTTATTTTTACTAATTATTTATAACTATAT